ACAATAAATTAAAATAATAATAATAAGGAAACCTATTATCCCACTGTGCTTAACAAGAGAGGCCACAGATCTCCCTACACTAACTTGAATCTAACATACTCACACACAAACACAGAGCCATCTGTATTATCTATAGGGTGAAATATTATCCCTGGATGTGTGAACGAGTAAAAATAGAGAGATGCACAGTTTAAAACGTGAACCTCAGAAAAAGCACAGTCAGCGAACACTGACGCTCATTTCATGCAGGCTGCTAAAGTGACATCCATTTGAGTGCCTAATGTGGCACTAATGTCCAAGAGAGCAATTCTACCCAACTTTGATAGTTAAAATGATTAAAATTATTTAAAAAAAAACATTTATATTTAAATAAATATATAATATACATTAAACATTTGTAATTTTTTTCTGATTTACAGCCTTTTAAATTGCAATACTGTGTAGTTTAAGTCGTCATTTAAAGTAAAAATAAATAAAAATAAAATGAGCAAAAAAGTAAATAATATTTGTTCAGTTTTCATCACTTTACAAAAAAGTTCACATATATCTCCAATTTATTTTCCAATGAAATCTTAAAGTCACACCCACTGACACACAATAGTCCACAGTGCAAACACAGTATCAGATCCGTGGTTCCAACTGATGGGTATTCACTCCCATAATGGGACACACCAGAAGAAAACATAATTGATGGATGTCATGTCACATCAACTGCATTCATTATTCACAGGAGAATGAGGATATTGTCGTGTGCATTTGTGCAACACGTTTGTACAATTGCACAAAGTTATCCAGACAATAAATTAAAATAATAATAATAAGGAAACCTATTATCCCACTGTGCTTAACAAGAGAGGCCACAGATCTCCCTACACTAACTTGAATCTAACATACTCACACACAAACACAGAGCCATCTGTATTATCTATAGGGTGAAATATTATCCCTGGATGTGTGAACGAGTAAAAATAGAGAGATGCACAGTTTAAAACGTGAACCTCAGAAAAAGCACAGTCAGCGAACACTGACGCTCATTTCATGCAGGCTGCTAAAGTGACATCCATTTGAGTGCCTAATGTGGCACTAATGTCCAAGAGAGCAATTCTACCCAACTTTGATAGTTAAAATGATTAAAATTATTTAAAAAAAAACATTTATATTTAAATAAATATATAATATACATTAAACATTTGTAATTTTTTTCTGATTTACAGCCTTTTAAATTGCAATACTGTGTAGTTTAAGTCGTCATTTAAAGTAAAAATAAATAAAAATAAAATGAGCAAAAAAGTAAATAATATTTGTTCAGTTTTCATCACTTTACAAAAAAGTTCACATATATCTCCAATTTATTTTCCAATGAAATCTTCTATAACGCTTTTCTAACTTAGAAACTGAACTTAACTATGCTAAAATGCTAAACTAGCTAGCTAGATAAGCCAGTAAATCATGAGCAAGCGCCCATCTGCCGTGACCGCAGTGGGTCTTGCCTGCCTCTTTGTAGCCTGTTCTGTGATAGGAGCTAATCAGAGTCTCTTTCTCACTAAAGGCCTGCTAGCCGAAGTCACTTAGCAGGGTTAACGTCAGGCATAATGAAATATTAAAGTGTGTCTGTAACTGCCACTATTGTTGCCCCTCGGAATAAGATATAACCCATTTTTGACAAGTTTTCATCCTCCTCACATAGAAGACACTACACGCAAACCAAATCAGCTACAGAGAAGAGGGTAATGAATAATCTATTTCATATTCCAAAGGCACCCACTGCTTAGAGAGAGAGAGAAAGGAGGGAAGGAGACAGGGAGGCATAGAGGGTGAAAAAGAAGGATAAAAAGAAAGGAAGAGTGAAAAAATAGATGCGGCAGATGATACCGCCAGCCTGCCGAAGGTGTCACGTGACACGCCTAATGTTTAAATAATAAAAAAGGGGATATAAACAAATCATTAGCCCTCCCATTGGTTGTTTAATGCAATTTCTTAATGAACATAATAGCCACAACTAACAATGAAAGAAAATAAAAACATCTAAATGGGCCCCAACGTATCGTCAGCGCTCAATTATTTCCTTGTCAAGTTGTTATGATTTAATGAGCCCCAGTGGGACTGACGGCTGTCAGTCAGCTCTGACTTTTTGACACCATTACAACTTCAAATAGAGCCGCAGCCACGCTGCTTTTCCACCAGCCACACACTGCTGAGAGGATCTGACAGGCCCGAGTAGAGAGAGAGAGAGAGAGAGAGACAGATAACACACACACACAGACTGAGCCAGCAAAACACACCGACACACATCCAAGTCATTACACACACAGCCGACTGATGTCTCGTATACACACGTGCAGGTGTGGGAAACGAACGCGCTTGCACATCCCCCGCACGCACATACATGCGAGAAAATAAGGACAAACAAATCTCATTGCACTTAAACGCACACGCTCTTTCTCTCCGCCGTTTGATGCAAAACCCAATCACAGAGGCCATTATCTGATGAGGTTTGTTAAACTGGCGGGATTCAGCTCCCCCTCATCCTTTCTCTTGCTTCCTCAACTTAATGATAACTCTCAATAGGTTGGCCCCACATGGGACACACGGAGACGCACTATTTTGTTGGCCATTAATTTGGCGCTTTGAAGCTGTAGCTGTGAAGCAGAGCAAGAGAAAACCCCCCACCAGGCTGCTTCCAAAATAAGACAATCCACCCGGCCTGAAACAGAATATCGAATGCCGTCTGCCTGTCTGTCTGACAGTCCGTCTGTCTGTCCGTCAGGCACCTCGACCGGCCGAGGTGTGCGCATGCGTCCCGTGTGGAAGGGGTGTTGAGCGTGGGGTGTTGGGAAGAGAGGCGGCGGTGTGCTAATCAGCAGTGTTCCAAAACCTAGTGAGTCACCTACGTAGGCAGCATATAGGCACACTCTCTATGTGAAGGCTGAGGGGCCTAATAATATGCGGTCTTAAAGATTCCTTCGATTGAGTACATTTTAAAACAACATTGAATATAAACTTCTAAGAAAAAAAGAAATCGCAGAATGCACTGTGACAACTCTGTGTGACAAAAGTTTGAAAAATTCAATACTGAATACTGTTATAGCTCAATGTAATTAAAATGGTTCATTTTACCCAATATTTGTGTGCTTTGTATGTTTATGCTTATTATAGTACTGTGTAATTAGCTTAGCAACATGCTAATAGCTAACTCGATTCACTAACATGGATTATCTGTCTTTATGCTTGACATATTGCCATTAGCTTAGCAACATGCTAATATTGAAATGGCAAACAAAATGAAATGTTGATGGTAAATATAACTGATTCGCCAAAATCGATTATTTGACTATGTTTAAAACATTGTCGTTAGCTTAGCAAAACATTAACAGCTTACCTTTTTATATATATATAAAAAAAACATCCAAGATGACAAATAAAGTGAAATATTGATTAGAAATATAACTGATTTGCTAACACTAAATATTATTTACCTGAAAGGGATAGTTCACCCAAAAATGAACATTCTGTCATTAATTACTCACCCTCATGTCTTTCTAAACCCGTAAGACCTTCATTCATCTTTGGAACACAAATTAAGATATTTTTGATGAAATCTGAGAGCTTTCTGACTCTGCACAGACAGCAACGCAACTGAAACGTTCAAGGACCAGAAAGGTAGTAAGGACATCGTTAAAATAGTCCATGTGACATCAGTGATTCAACCTTAATTTTATGAAGCTACCAGAGTACTTTTTGTGCGCAAAGAAAACTAAAATATTGACTTTATTCAACAATTTCTTCTCTTTTGTGTCTCCCCCTTTTTGGGCCTTGATCGTTGTAGTTGCGTTGCTGTCTATGCAAGGTCAGAAAGCTCTCGGATTTCATCATAAATACCTTAATTTGTGTTCCGAAGATGAACGAAGGTTTCACAGGTTTTGAACTACATGAGGATGAGTAAATAATGACAGAATTTTTTACTTTTGGGTGAACTATCCCTTTAACACACTGTTATTAGCTTAGCAAGCTTAGCTTTTTCAAACCAATTGTGAAGTTGGTCTCCTGTGTGTTGAAAGTTGCTGTCTATGTAGAGGGTTATGAATCCGTCATTTATGAGGTTTCATTTCAGCTAGTGATGCTGCCTTAGATGCCAACTGCCTACGTATGCATTAGACAGCAAAACAACTCACTGGGTTTTGGAATTGAGCCGGAGTGTATGGCAACAAACACATAAATATATGAAAAAATACAAAGGAATCCTCACATAAAAATCCCATAAACTAACAAAAATGAATTGTACTATTAGTACACAGTCATTGTTACCTTCTCTCTTATAGACTAATACTCAACCAGCAGGTGAAAGCCTGGAGCAGACTCACAAATTTAGCATATTTCCATATTGATGCTTGCTAGTTGGTCCCCCTATAGGAACAATGAAGAACATTTGCAACAGCATTGTCACAGTAGAGACAAATAATATAATTTTAATGTCAAATACTAATGGCTAAAACAAATTCCAGATAAATCGAAAGAAAGTTACAGCAAAAAAATACATCACAATTCATCTGAAACGATAAATAAATACAAGAAACATTTCTTATTAGTACGACTGACTACAGTTACTATCATGCTGTCAGATTTGATTAGTAAAGGTAAAAGTGGACATGGATGTTTTCTTGTTCAAAGCAGTCCCGCTGGTTTAACTAAACACATGCGAGGTCTTTGCTGACCTTAGAGGAACAGCGTGAGAAGCTACTAATCCTGGATGAAGGGGGACTGAGAGATGGGCGCGTGACCTTTGGGCTGTGTGTAGTGTGTGATTCTGCACCATGTGCTAAATGGTACTGCACCGGGGGCCTTGCCTTGTGTACGGCTCACACACACACACATACACCTGATGGATGGGATTTTACTAGTAGCTTTACAGAAAAATAAAAGTAAACATTAAACTGCAGGTTATGACATACGTTGATCTTCGTCTTCATGGTCCTCGTGTCCATACGTCTGTGTTGGGTTTGTCTATGGGTCGGTAAGTTTTAAAAGTAATGGACGCAGCATAAATATAAGGGGAGAGAGGGTGAGAATGGTCCCGCTCCGCTCGAGAGCAGCGAGGAGAGGCCACCTGTCACTGCCCACCAGGAATGATTCATGTGAACAATTTGTCCTAATTACTCCAGCCCAACACTTTTGTCACTATTAATCTTACACACACGCTCGTACACACTCACACATGCACGCATAAGGCCAGTCAGTGGAGATCAGTGCCCTCGCAAATTGAAATAGATGGCCAAGACGACGGTGAGGAGGATGATGGCGCCCAGGATGAAGACCAGGACACGATTCTGAATGATCCTGTGGGTGAGGAGAGGGAGAGGTGGAGAAAAAGAGAAGACAAAAGAAAGAGATTTCATGTTAAGTAAATTAATTAGACAATAGTACAAACTAGCGATTTAACATCTTCACACAAAATAGGCATGCATGTGATCGAGTACATGCCCTGCATCAAAAATGTATTTATTTATCCTGACTCAACTCAGTCAGAGCTGTCTTTTAAAAAAATAAAATAAAAATAACAAACAGGCTTTTGTGCAAAGCATGTCACACGGTGTGACAACTTTGCCTTTTTCCTCTCCATCTGTCTGCAGACACGCTTAAAGCATTTACTTTTCTCTGGAAAGTAAAAAGTGTAGCTTGTGGTGTTCCTCCAGCTAATAAATTTCACATATTTACTGATGGAATTCTCCATAAAACCCACTTTCCTACTGTCACATGACCAAACCAAAAAGGCAATTTGTGCCTGCAGGACTTAATAGACTCACTCGGTCATTCACTAAATTCTACACATTAATTGCATTTTCATTTACTAAATGTTATGGCCAATAATTGTGATTTCAGCTAGTAGTTCACTAAATATCGGTCCGGAATTTTCATATTGAACAGTATTTGAAATCTAATTGTGGACATTTGTTTCTTCCTGAGGTCTCAAAATGAATAGGTATGCATATTACATATAGTAAGTCTATAAGTCTATGCAAAATATTATTACAACTTAAATAACTGTTTTCTATTTTAATATAGTTTTAAAATGTAATGTATTACTGTGATGGCAAAGCTGAATTTACTCCCGTCTTCAGTGTCACATAATCCTTCAGAAATCATTCTAATATGCTGATTTGGTGGTCATTTCTTCTTATTATTAATGTTTTTAAAAAGTTGTGCTGCTTAATATTTTTGCAGAACATGATGTATTTTTTCAGGATTCTTTGATAAAAAATACACTTTCTCCCCAAATCGCAAAATGCTAAATGTGTTTCCATTACAGATTTGTGCAAAACTTTTGCGATATTTTATAAATGTCGATAAAAAAACCTATTGCGTAATGACTCGTTTCCAAGATTTTCCTCTCGCAATAAGTCATGGCGACGAATGTTGGTAGGTTTACGTATATCGCAGCAACCGCACAAGCCATTATTTAAAATCGAAGGAGACATATGCGTCTATCTTTAACAACATTTTTTAACAACCTTTTTCCGATATATGTGAGTTTTTGCAAAATTGACGTGTTGCCATTAGGCGTATTTTCAATTTGCAATTTGAAGGGTAATGGAAACGCAGCTAAAGTAATTCTGTTCGTCTCTACATAAAAGTACCAAAAGGAGCCAAACAAACTGTTTGAAAAGTGGCAAAGTGGTACAAAGCGGGTGTGTGGACAGTACAGTGAGGGTGAGAGCGGGAGTTGTAGGGTTGAGACCCTGGGATGATCTCTTGGGGCGAGTTTCTGTCTCCTGTGTCATTCCTGATAAATGACAGAATTATCCCATGTGCTGACATGTGGAGAGAGCAGGACCACTGTCCACTCCTATAAGCAGGAGATGAATAACTCACACACACCAATTCATCACCACTGCAGCCGAGCAGCACTCCGCCGCATCTTACACACACATCTAACGCATACAGAGATGCACAGTGAAGAAAGCAAAATGACATTACAACACACACCTCAATACTCCTACTCAAAATCGAATAGTCTATGCTCTGAGATGTTTATTTTGTTAAGATAAACCATTAGAGGCTTTTCCACTGCATTGACAAAAGGTGTGTTCTGACTGGGCGCTGGGCCGGCATAATTCATAATTGGGAGTGCATGCTTGGAGAAGGACATTAATCAGAGCATGTTTAGCAAGGCCAGATCTCCCACGTCTCTTTAAGTAACATTCATTATTTACACTGGCTACACACACACACACATAAACAAACTCCAAGCAAGAGGACAGACTGTTCATGATGTTCAGAGATGTGCTGGTGCCCAAAGGGACAGAAAACAGCCGTGGGAGAGGGACGAATGGGAATTCGTGGGTCTGTATAAAGAATGTGTGTTATAGGATGGTACAACTGATTCTGTGATCAACACCACTGGAGGTAAATTATGTCAAGATCATGCAAACCTTACGGTTTTGCCACTTACTGTCAATCAATATTGAGATAAAGTACAGCACTCTTCAAAGGGGTCACTAAGATTTTTTTTTTTTTTATAATTTAAAGCTTTCTTTCAGCAAGGATGCATTACATTGATCTAAAGTGGCAGTAAAGACATTTATAATGTTACATAAGATTGCTATTTCAAATAAATGCTGTTCTTTTGAATATTCTATCCATCAAAGAACCCTGAAGAAAAATAAGTATCAGTTTCCCCACAAAAAAGAATAAGCAACTGTTTTCAACTTTGATAATATTTTTTTTTTACTTGAGAACCGAATCAGTACATTAAAATGATTTCTGAAGAAGCATGTGACACTTAAGATGAGAGTAATGACTGCTGAAAATCCAGCTTCGCCATCACAGAAATTAATTCAAATGTAAAAATCCATTAAAATAGAAAAGTATTATTTTAAATTGTAATAATATTTCAAAATATTACTGTTTTTACTGTATTTTTGATCAAACAAATGCAGCCTTGGTGAGCATAAGAGACTTCTTTCAAAAACATTACAAAAAATCAAACAGTAGTGAAGCTGACTGACTATCTTGTGATCTCACTGCTCTTTATTATAAAAGAGATTCTAAATTTTAATTGGATACTATATTAATGCTTTAATGTTGCTTTGCAACCATAGAACTGCCTACAGAAGAACATATTATTTTCATTAATTAATTGAATTTTCGATGAACATTAATATTGTTACCAATTGAAGCTCTCACAGTGATTTTACCATGGTAAAAAGTTTTTTTTTTTTTTTTTTTTACACTTACGTATGGGATGTTAACACAACCTTTTGAGGCATAGTGCTTTATCCTGTACAGATTTATGAAGAAAAAGAAAAAAATAACCTTTTTTACTCATAAATCAACTTCGACTAACCTTAATTTTCTGACCATAGGCTCAGCTGTAGATTTTTGACTGAAGTGCAAGATATTAAATACAGTGGTGTGTGTACTGTATGTGTGTGCGTGCGTGTTGGTGTGAGTGGTTCAGGGGCCAGGCTGAGCTGTTAGCAGTAATGTAGATTAATCTGTCTTTGGTGAGGCTGCTCTGACAGGCCCTTGAGGGTGGGCGGAGAGGCCCCAGGCAGCCCCGCATCCAGACACAGAGGGAGAGCAAGAGTGAGTGAGTGGCCCAGTCATCACAGAGAGCAGCCATGCTTCCCTCACTTCAACAGCCCAGTCTTACACTCTGAAAAACACACTGGAAAGTGCATGAATTTCTTCACAGAAATTCGTTATAGTTTGAGGAACATATTTAGGGAAGTAATTCATCCGTCGTGTGTGAGAGCTCATATAGTCATTGATGCAAGGGAACTTTTGTCTGTAAACTTTAAAATCTTCCCCTGTAGCAGTCCCTTTCAACCGCAACTAAAAATAACCACGAATGGATCTCAAAGAACAGAAGTACTAAAACTATTTGTACCCCTTTTTCACCTCTCTTAGAACTAGCCTGCATTTTCACTGATTTGAAAACCAAATGACGACGCAACCGGCTGTTACTAAATAATCTGCACACAAACAAACAAGCCACAATACTTTCTTTGTTTACGAGCCTTGCTTCTAGTTTGAGAACACATTTTGACATCTAAAGTAATTTAATGGAGTGTAATCATGAGCTGGCTTTGATATAATGGCCAGAATTTATTTAAATACAGCGCAATGAATACATTTAATAGTATTCTGATTGCATATATGATATTTGTAAATTATATAATTAATAATATAATAAAAATACTTTTTAAAAATAATATGAAAATAGAAATAATATAATTTATTGAATATATTACAATCAATTATAATAACATTAAAATATAAATAATAATAACTGTATTAAATTTGCTTGAACAGTAGTGTATATAAAACAAATATATAAAAATAAAATACTTTAGAATAAAAATAGTATGTTTTTTTCTTTTAAATATTTTTACTGTATTATATTAAATATTTTAAATATATTTCTTTACAGTTCAAATTATATTTTATGTTATTTTGAAAGCTGTACTTGACTCCCCGTCTCTGACATTTCTGATTCCTGGGGAGCAGCATATTACAAGTTTTTTTTTTAATACCTCAAATCTGCCTTTTCTTTGGTGGATTACACCTGGACTAGATTGGAAACGGCAACCCCCTGTTTGTGGAAAAAGAGGTATTGGATACTTCTGTAGCTAATCTATGGCTCCTCCAACTCCAGTCTCACCTGGGTTGAATCACATTAATATAAAGGGGGGACAGAGACAGCAAGAGCAGGAGAAGTGTCTTATGGAGGTTCTATCCCATGTTGAACCATGTCTGGACAGAACAGAGCAGGACCCATCAAACCGCATCCATCCTCTCTGTCAAACACATGACAGAGGCTGGAAGAGACCTGCTCATGTTGTCACAGCTCATAGCTCAGGGTAAACCTTCTCTTACACATTCACTTTTTCTGTCTCTCTCTCTTAGCTTAGGATGGGAAAAAGAACCAGAGGTTCAAAAATGCACATGTAAAATAAAAAAAATAAAGTTTGCTTCAATGTAGCGTATGAAGTAAAAATCAAAACATTAAAACTTCACACAGAACAAGACACATATCCCTGCTCAACTAATATTAAATATTAAACACCTCAAGAATTCACACTTTTTAAATTGTTAGCATAATCTCATGTACCCATAGAAATGTATCATGTCTAGTCGGGCCAGAGGTAAGAGTAAGATTCCATGCAGAATGATTCGAGTTCAATTCCCACGATGGAATAAATTAATTTATGCTTTTTTTTAATGAACCAAACTTCAACTCTGCTAGATCACATTTGGTTTAGTTTTAGTTAGTGATTTTACTGACTTGATTCAATTGACCTCAAAATCGTGATGAACCCAATTGCTTCAGACAA